ACTGCGCTCTAACCAACTGAGCCAACCAGCCACCCCTGTTTTTACCACTTTTAAAAGTGACCCTAGAACTCCCATGAACCCAGGTGACCAGGTGGCAACAGGCATTGCGGAGACTCCGGCTCTAAACTAACACGCGCTATCTTGTCCTTCCCAGCAGCCAGAAGGAGTGACCCATGAGACCCTGCAAGGGAGCAAGCCTGGCTCCAAAGTGGAGGAGACGTGGAAGATTCAGAAGGAGCTGGACGAGCAGACTGAGCGGAGGCAGCAGCTGGAGAATGAGGTCAAGAGCGCCCAGGAGGAGATCCGGCTGCTGCAGACTCAGAGCCCCCAGGAGGCGGTGGTGCGCAAGGAGGTGCTGAAGAGGGTGCCGGACCCTGCGCTGGAGGAGAGCTTCCGGCGAATGCAGCGCACCCTGGCGGAGGAGCAGCACAAGAACCAGCTGCTGCAGGAGGAGCTGGAGACGCTCCAGCTGCGGCTGCGCACCCTGGAGCGAGAGACCAGGAACGGGGGGCAGGAGTACGTGGTTAAGGAGGTGCTGCGCATCGAGCCAGACCGAGCCCGGGCCGACGAGGTCCTGAGGCTCAGGGAGGAGCTGGAGGAACTGAGGAGGCAGAAGGGCACGCGGGAGGCAGAGGCGGTCCTCCTGCAGCAGCGCATTGCGGCCCTGGCCGAGGAGAAGAGCCGGGCGCGCGAGAAGGTCACCGAGAAGGAGGTGGTCAAAGTGCAGAATGACCCCCAGCTGGAGGCGGAGTTCCGGCAGCTGCAGGAGGAGCAGCAGCGGGAGGGCGGGCGCAGGGAGAAGCAGGAGGAGGAGCTGAGCTTCCTGCAGGACAAGCTCAAGAGGCTGGAGAAGGAGCGGGCCATGGCCGAGGGCAAGGTCACTGTCAAGGAGGTGCTTAAGGTAGAAAAGGACGTGGCAGCCGAGAAGGAGGCCGGCGAGCTCCATCGCCAGTACGAGGACGAGGCCGCCAAGGCTCGCGCCCACCAGAGGGAGAAGAGCGAGCTGCTCCGGAAGATCTGGGCCTTGGAGGAGGAAAACGCCAAGGTGGTGGTGCAGGAAAAGGTGCGGGAGATCGTCCGGCCGGACCCCAAGGCCGAGAGCGAAGTGGCCAACCTCCGCCTGGAGCTCGTGGAGCAGGAGCGCAAGTACCGGGCGGCCGAGGAGCAGCTGAAGAGCTACCAGGCTGAGCTGGAGGCGCTCAGGAGGCGGGGCCCCCAAGTGGAAGTCAAAGAAGTGACGAAGGAAGTCATTAAGTACAAGACCGACCCAGAGATGGAGAAAGAGCTGCAGAGGCTGCGGGAGGAGATCGTGGACAAGACCCGACTCATTGAAAGGTGCGACTTAGAGATCTACCAGCTGAAGCAAGAGATTCAGGCCCTGAAAGACACCAAACCCCAGGTCCAGACCAAGGAGGTGGTCCAGGAGATCCTCCAGTTCCAGGAAGACCCCCAAACCAAACAGGAGGTGGAGTCTCTGAGGGCCAGACTCTCCGAGGAACAGAAGAAGCACGTGGATCTGGAAAGGGAGAGGGCTTCCCAGGAGGAGAAAATCAAACACAAGGAAGAGGAGCTCTCGCGGGTGAAGGAAAAGGTGGTCCAGCAGGAGGTAGTCAGGTACGAGGAGGAGCCGGGCCTGCGGGCTGAGGTGGACGCCTTCACCGAGAGCATTGACGTGGAGCTCCGGCAGATTGACCACCTCCGCGGGGAGCTGCGGCGGCTGCAGCGCAGGCGGGCTGAGCTGGAGCGCCAGCTGGAGGAGCTGGACCGCGAGCGGCAGGCGCGCAGGGAGGCGGAGCTGGAGGTGCAGCGGCTGAAGCAGCGGCTGGCCGACCTGGAGAGGGAGGAGGGGGAGGCCCGAGAGAAGGTGACCCACAAGCAGAAAGTGGTGCTGCAGCAGGACCCCCAGCAGGCCCGCGAGCACTCCCTGCTCCAGCTGCAGCTGGAGGAAGAAAGGCACCGGCGGCAGGTCCTGGAGAGTGAGCTCGAGACCCTGAAGAAGCAGCTCGTCAACCTGGAGAACATGGAGGTGAAGGAGAAGGTGGTCTTCTCTGAAAGCATCCAGGTGGAGAAAGGTGACACCGAGCAGGAGATTCAGAAACTCAAGAGCAGCCTGGAGGAGGAGAGCCGGAGCAAGAGGGAACTGGACGCGGAGGTGAACCGGCTGGAAGCCAAGCTGTCGGAGCTGGAGTTCCACAACTCCAAGTCGTCCAAGGAGCTGGACTTCCTCAGGGAAGAAAACCACAGGCTACAGCTGGAGCGCCAAAACCTGGAGCTCGAGACCCGAAGGCTCCAGTCGGAAATTGAAATGGCGGCAACGGAAACACGAGACCTGAAAAACACGACCACGGTAGACTCGGGGACCAACCTCAACTCCAGACTGTGGTCCCTAGAGAAAGAACTGGACGACCTCAAGAGGCTCTCCAAAGACAAAGACCTAGAGATCGATGAGCTGCAGAAGCGCCTGGGCTCCGTGGCTGTCAAGAGGGAGCAGAGGGAAAACCATCTGCGGCGCTCCATCGTGGTTATCGACCCCGACACAGGCCGGGAGCTGTCCCCGGAGGAAGCCCACCGGGCCGGCCTCATCGACTGGAACATGTTTGTGAAGCTCAGGAGCCAGGAGTGCGACTGGGAGGAAATATCCGTCAAGGGTCCCAATGGGGAGTCCTCTGTGATCCACGACAGAAAGTCTGGCAAGAAGTTCTCCATTGAAGAGGCCCTGCAGAAAGGAAGGCTGACCCCTGCTCAGTACGACCGCTATGTCAACAAGGATATGTCCATCCAGGAGCTGGCCGTCCTAGTGTCTGGACAGAAGTAGGCACGGCCCTGCCCTGTCTTCTCGGAAGCAGACACTGGCTCACTCCTACCCCATAGCCTCCTGGCGTCTTCTCCCTGGCCCTGTGCAGGCTCCTAACCTGTGTGGAGCTGAGCATGCCACCCACGCCCTCGCTGCCAGGCTACCCAGGGTACAGCTCACCTACAAGCCGGACAGGCACTGGTTGCACCATCATTCAACCCAGGTGAATGACCTGCTTCGTCCTCCAATAATTCAAAACCATGAAGCCCTTCTTCTCTCTCCCTTTTCCTACACACTCCCATCAACACACTACTTGGGCGACACTTGGAAGCCATCTGAACACGAAAGCGCAAGCAACTGAGGCCAACAAGCCCACTCCATGCAGTGCTGGCCTTCGCACACCAGATGGGGAAACTTGAGGGCAGAAAGGCCTCCTTTCCACACACCCTTCCATTCATCCAAGGATCAGGCCCCTCGGGGCTGCCGACCTGCACTCACACCTCTCCAGGAGTCTGGCTGAGAGCCGACTTTCTGTCGGACTTCTCCTGGTGAGACAGATCTGGGCTCTGTGCCAGGAAAGGCGCAAAGAAACCAGCACAGTCTGGCCCTCTGTTGGCCAGCTTGTCCAAGGAAAACGCACCAGCAGAGACTGTTTTCTGGTTCTGAAATTGAGGTGTTTTCATAATGTACTGTGTTGCTATTAGCCTTAGCTCCAGTGCCTTACAAGTCTTGCTTTATCCTCTAATTGGTATTTCGGTGTACTACACAGTTGATTTTTCACCAAATGAGTTTTGGGGTCTCTGTATCTCATGTATTATGTAAGAAAATGGGAATTAATAGGGAACTCCACTTCAAGTACGAAAATAAACCTCTGGTGGCTTGGTTCTAATTTCATGCTAAGTGTGTTCCTTCCTCCTTTGTGTGAGCAGCTTATTGCTGCCATTCCCTAAGTGGGTATCCCATGTATACCAGCTCCTATGGGGAAAGAATTACTTGCAAATATGGTAAAAATAATGAGAAAATGGTTTGGAAACCTTGAAACAATTTATTCAGTTGCTTTATACAAGATTAACAATTTCCAAACCACCCCCTAACCCAACCTAGTGGCTGCACCAAAGCCACAGCCCCTTTCACACCTCAGAACGGCCGCACCAAGGAAAGCCCTGCAGCGCCGCAGCCCCCAGGCCCGGAGCCCGCTCTGCCTGTTGATCTGCCTTGCCATGGCTGTTTAAATCATTCACTCCTGCGTTACCACAAATAAAGCATAAACGAGAAAAAGAAATCTCCCCATCAAAGAAACGTTTCCCTGAGGCAAGAGGCATCACTAGATTCCTACAAATGAGGGTATTCTGCTCCAGCTGCACACTCAATGGTACATGGGGAGGAGGGGGGCCTGTAGGGGGACCGGATGTCTCGGGCAGAGAAGGCGCTCCCGGGCGGTCTCTGCACAGCTCTGAGCTCAGCAATACAAATCTCTTCTTTGGCTCTTTTGCTACTTCCTAAGACTATTCTGTAAACAAACTGGAAACCCAAGTTGCAAAAAATATATATAATAAAGGGAGAAGGAATCCATGTAGGCCCATGTGAAACACGTGTTGGTTTTTACGTAAAAAGGAGTCAGAGTAGAGGCCTGGCCGCCTGCTGACAGAGGCCTTGCTCCCTGGACACCAGGCAAACCTCGGCATGAAGCGCAAATTACTGAGCACTGGACCCTGGTCATCAGGAACCAAAAGAGCGGCCTGTGTCTCCACACAGGTGTACGCTCTGAAGAGGCTGTTTGCTCCCAAAATACTTGAAATCAACTTAGCTGGAGCAGTCAGCTGAGACGCGCCTTATGGCACAGACTTCCCCTCAAACTCCTTGTGAAGCAGCCACTGGTTAGGTGGGAACAGCACTGGTACCCGGGAGCTCCGGGGTTAACTGCCCTAGTTTGTCTCTGATGCACCTCCAAACTCAGCGGCGCGTCAGCCCTAAGCACAGCCCCACTGCCCGGAGAGCCCAGGACTGCAAGGCCTGTTCCTACACGGCAGATGCTTCCCCAAGGCCTATTCCTGCAGCTCTGCCTGAGAATGATTTCTAAGTAAAACTAACTGGAATGTCTATCTGTGACTTGGAACCCCTGATATCCTCACCCTCTGAGAGATGAAGAAGGCCTTTGGGGCTCTGCAGTTCACCTGTGTGAACTCTGGGAAAACAAAATGGGGCAGGGGGTGGGCTAGCTGAATTGGAACCTGGGATTTGGGGACCCAGATGATCTTTAAGTCAGGACAGCACAGATTATGATGTGCGACCACAAAAAACTTAATTACATAAAACTGGCTATGTCTTCAGTACAGACATCTTTAAAAAAGGCCTTCATCTGAGATCCGCTCAGAGGGAGGGCCACATGGACATGTGTCTAATTCTGCTCCACCATAAAGGCACTGGAATAATGTCTTCCTATAATATGATGTGCGAAGAACAGTCCCATTCTATCCAATGCATTTAATGGTAATGATGAAAACTGAGCCAAAAATAAGTGTCTTTAAAAATCCTATCACAACTGTTGAATCTACAAAGGTATTTTCTCTAAAAGAGCTTCATTGTCATATTTAGCGGGGAAACTGGCCCCCACGATGAGCACACACTAGGTGTTCTGAATATTTTTCAAAGAGATAAGGTAAGTCTCCCAGCTGGGGTGTGAGCCTGGGTTTCCGTCCACTGACACACAGCCTGAGGACGGATGGACACCATGGCCATCCGGGAATCCGACTGTGGCCAGAAGGAGCCCCTGACCAGTAGGGCGCCATGAGGTACTCTGACCAAATGCCAGGGTTTGGGCAGACTTACAACACAGGTGTGCCAAGGGTTCAGTCCTGCCACCAGAGCTCCATACATGACCCAGCGCGCTCCCCAGCCTAGAGCTGCCCCTCCAACGATTGTCCGCGACAAAGTCACGAGGCCTGGAGCACCAGGCCAGTCAGTACCTCCGGAGAAGCACGAGGCTGCTCCCCTAACTGAAGGCACGTCACAAGTGCCAAGAGACGCTCCACTCAGCACTCACGCCTTCTCCAGAAGAAATCGGCACCAATCGGCAGAAAGAGTATAGTGATTATCCAAGTTCAGAGAACTACTCGTTCAGCTTCCAGCTTTTCCTCTGAAGAGGTCACAACTTCCGTGGTACACCGGGCCCTTTCCCATGAAGCTGAGAAGCATCTGGAAAAGAATAAGCAAAACAGAACATAAATCTTTCAGGATCTCTGATTCCCTTAAGGCAGAAGTAACCAAACCTATAGGAGATCACTTCTTAAAGAGCAAAAGCCTCCGTATGGTGGGTGTTCTGACGCTCAAATGAGCCACACACACTTGAAAGAGGGGATCTGAGCATAATGGAGGCCAGTTGCTATGTGCAGCGTGCCTGGCCCTCTGAGCACCATGGAGGCAGCTGCTCGCTGGGTGCTGGGTTCACACAGCGACTGCTGCACAGTGGGGGCCTCTTTGCTCTCGGCTACCACTACCACCCTGTGGCAGACTGGGGTTCCAGGACGAGGTTTGAAGGCCCCACTGAACTCAAGGAGGATCAGCATTCTCATCATCAAAAGACACTTGGGTTCTATACAGACAAGCTCAAAGGCACTAGCATTCTGAGTTCACATAGGAAAGAAAGCAAAGCAGACAGTCAACAGCTAAAAGGTCCAGACAACTTCTCGTGTAACCAGTCCATGGAATCCTATAGTCTGCAGAATGTCTAAAGAGCCTGTTTTAGCATAGATGCTTTTCTGATAGCCTCTCACTACCCAGAGGAAAAACAGGAAAGAAACTGGACAGGAAAGCACTTTTCCCTTTTTTGATGAAAATACCACAGACCAACAACGGTCATGCTTCCAATGGCTCGTCAATTACCGTCTCTATTTGAAAGGGTGACATTCCAAAAGCAAGCAGAGGCTCTCTCCGAAAAGCCACAAGCTCTCACCCAGGTAGCTCTGTGACCCCTACGTTATAATCTCAGCTATAGAGGCAGCCACCCCTTTGTCAAGTGAGTCCACTGTATTTTACTACTTCCCAGGGAAAACGGAGTAACTGCTGCTGCAGGCCCCTCAGTTTCTTTCTCTAAGAAGCAACATTTCCATCTCAGAGATGTTGCCACCTGGGTGCAATCCATTCTTGCACCCAGGTGGCCTCTGGCAGTCACTATAAATGCATCAGCCTAAGGACACCGGGGCCAGGGGCCCACAGCAAATCTGGAATGGACAGACTGGGGCCGTGTCGGGGCAGTGCTCTCAGTGCAGCAGGTCTCGGCATGCCCAGCCAGGCGGCCCCTGGCTTACTCCCACCAGGGACCAGTGTGCCAGGGCTGCCCAGGTTCACCCTCCAGGAGGAGTGGCTCTCCCTGACCAGTGTGGCTCTCTGGTCATTTCTGGAGCAGATCTAAAGTAGAAGAGCAACAGGCCAAAACCAAGATCCCCGAGGCTCTCCACTAGCGTTCCATTAGCTCAGGACCCAGGACAGAGCAAGGCCAATCGCTGGTTATGAGGGTGTCAGCTTCTCACACCTATGAACCTGGGGCTTACAGGGGATCCCTTTCTGAAAAGCACTGCTCTCTGGAGAGGAAAAGCAGAAGAAAGGGAACGCGGCCCCAACTCCTCTGTGCCCCCAAATCACTGTCTTTACATCTGAAATGAACTGATAGCTGCTCCTCTCGGGTACATGCTGAGATCAGAGCAAGGGTCCCTCCTGAAGCCTTGCCACTGTGATGTCTCACTGCTACCTGGACTCCCCCTTCCACTTAAATTAAGTTTACAGAGCCTTTCTCTTAGCTGCTTCCATCTGGAAGGCGTAAGCAGCTTGAACTTGGCCTTGTAGTGCCCCAACTAGCCCTTGGAAAATCAGCACCATTACCCTTCCCTTTTTTTAATTAAAGAGGAAAAGTTGAGCAAAGGGCTGGGGACGCCTCTGCCTCCCACACAGGCCACCCTGACTTCCTCTGTGATCACACCGGGTAAGGCTGAGCCAGTGGCAGGGGACCAGGGGAAATCTCAAGGCGGAAGAAGCCTGTAACATTCTGGGTACCCACAGAGCCAGAGCCTCAAAGGACAAGCCAAGACAACATAGTGACGAGGTAAAGACACTGAAATCTTTGGCAGCAGACAAGTCATCCACTGTGTGGAGAGGGGAATGGCGCACAGTGTGCGTGGCACTCTGACCGCCTGGCAATTACCTGGCAGACTCTGCGAGATGTGGGTGGACATGGCAGCGTGTGGGAGAGGCGCTGCGTGGGGCGGGCTGGAGTGCAAGCCAGCCAGGAGACCTGAGAGGAAACAGGAGGGGAGAAAAGAACAAAACACACACATTGAAGACAGGAACGAAAAAGCAGCCTTGGTGGTCCAGAGCCCCCAGATGGCCTACTGGCCGTTCCTGGGTGAAAGCCCCTGGGAAGGGGCTCAGCATGGTCCCCGGGACTGTTGCCCATGGCCACACACCAGACACACAGAGGAACCCAGTACATGACAACAAAACTCGGTCACAGCAGAGGTCCCGGGGCACCTTCTGGGCCTCCAGCATGAGGAGAGGGAGGGGAGAAGCACTTACTGTGGCTGAGGCCGTGGTGGAACGTCCCAGGGGCAGGGCCTGTGACGATGGCGTCCTTGGAGACCCCTGCTTTGGCAGAGGAGTCGGCACTAAAGGAGAGCACACGGAGAGGAAATGGGGAGATTATCCCCAGGGAGTTCGAGTTCACGGCCCCGGGCAGCTTTGGGCTGCCTGCCTTATAGGATGAGGACAGCAGATTTAAGGGCGAGGAGCTGGTCAGCAGCACAGCCCCGCTTGTTCCTTTCTGGGGAGGAAACACACACAAAGGGGTCAGAGGTCCTGCCCGTCCACAGCTCACTCACAGACCAAACCTGGTAACACACAGCGGGGGACATGCACACGGACCTTGGCTTCCCCTTCTACAGGCCCCCTGCTCCGCGGCCCCAAAGGAAGAAAAAGGACAGTCTCTGAATAGACGGATTGGCCCCCCCAGGACACAGTGTCCACTTTACAAAGCAGGGTATTCAATATGCCTCCTCTGTGCAAGAAAGAGAGGGAAGGAGATTGTATAGAGACGTCCACAAACCTAGGTATTTACAAACGTGTATGTGTCCCTTTATATACATAACACAGACACACATATATATGTGTATGTATGAGTCTTTGTTTTTAGAAAAAAACGGAAAACCCCTGGAAACAAAGGAACGTGGTTACCTTGCAGGGGGATAGGAGCAGGGCAGAAGCAGGTGAGACCTCGCGGAACATGCCTTTCTATGGTTTTCTCTTTGCAAACACTTTGTTGTTTTATATATTGGAATTTATATATTTATATATTGAAAAATGCTCTCTCCCATTTCCCCAACCTGCTCCAAACTTCCTATAACTCCTGCAGGCAAGCCTCATTCATCAATCACTGGACTCCATCAGATCGCCTTTGTCCGACCCGCAGCATCCTTCAAAACCCAATTGAGAATCACTCTTAGGAGGTACTCATCTCCCTGGGGCATGAGCATCTGCATATAACTAATGATCCGCTAGGCAGCATTGTTTCCACTGCCTTGTTTGGAGAGATGGACAGGTAGGAGGCTGTGAAAGGGAAGTTTTATGGTTCGTTCCACACTGTACCCCAGATTCATAGTCTCCCTGCAAACACATGCTAACCAGTCCTTTCCCTCCACTTGTCTTCCTAAGAAGTTTCAGGCTTTCCTGGGGTTCCTGCCAACAGAATAGATAAGACTTGAAATCAGGAAGCCCGGTCCCCCTCCTGCGTTCCGGGCCCACTGTTCCACCCTGTCCTTCAGTTTCAGGTCTCACTACCCAACCAGGGCAAGGCAGGCAGCCTTGTGCACGAGACCCACAAGGACGGCTGCCGTGGTTTGGGATACTCACTGGCAAGGAGGTAGACGATGTCACGCTGCTAACCGCACTGGGCTTGAGGGAGGAGGTCAGTAATTTGGCCACGCCCTGGGTCCCACCACTAGAATCTCCATTTGGACCACCCGGAGGGGCCACTAGGGTCAGCTTCTGGGAAACAGGTGGTTTTTTCACTGTGGAGCCTGGAACAGGCCGGCTGGGGGGCGGTCCTGTGGAGGGAGGCTGTGTGCTGGGGAGCAGGTTCCCAGAAGCAGAGCTCTGGACCGGTGTTCCTCCAGAGGAAGAGCTGCCAGAAGAAATCCCATGTTTGGAGACAGAACTGGCAAAGGGGCTGTTCTTGTAAGATGGCCCTGCAGAGCTGGCTGAGTGCTGTTTTGCCGGATGGCTCAGGGCAGCAGAGGACGAGGCTGGGGTCTTATGAGAGCTGCTGCTCGAGGCTGGTGTGCCTCCTGAAGAGGCTGGCGTGGAGGGATGGAAGCTCTGGCCTTTGGTGGCCGTCTTCACGAGCTGGAGGAAGGAACGATGACACTGTGGGGAGGAAGGCTTAGGGCCCTGGAGCTTACTGACAAACGGAGCTGGGGCGCTGAAGCTCTTTTGCTGTTGAGTGCCTGCCTGAAAGACTTTGACCGAGGAGCCAGGCACGGGAGCTGCTGTTGGGGGTGCGTGAGACGTCCGTGGCAAACCGTGGTGCTTTGCTTTGGACTGGTGCACGTCCGGCAGGCCCTTGCTGAGGGCGGCCTGACAGGACAGCTCTTTGTAGCCAGAACTCTCTGGTTTTTTCTCCTGAGAGGACTGCCCCAATGCCAGAGCCTGTTCAGCCAGAAAACTGAGTGGTGACTGCAGAGAGCTCGAGGGTGGTGGGGCAGAAGGGCCGGGCTTCGGAAAGGTCCTTTTTTCTTCTGTGCATAAGACACCCACGGCTTTCTCCGCAGGCGCTTTTGAGGGTGCAGGCAGTGTGAACTCGGAGCTCCCACTTGTTCTGCTGTTCAGCACAGCCAGTTCCTTGGACACAGCCTCCAAGGAAGATGCTGAGTTACGGATCAGGTCTCCATCTAGTGAGTCCTCCAGGCTGACAGGAGCAGGATTTGCAAGGCTCCCCGATGCTTGGGACGAGAGCTCCCTGTTTGCAGTTCCAGTGCTCGGGCCTCCACCCGGGTGTTCGGAAGGCAAAGCCAGAGGGCCGCCAACCTGGCCTGATGGGACAGACACCTTTTTATCAGGCTTAGTAGAGGATTCCTACAGGAAAGCAGAAATACTGATGTTTAGAAATGTCCAAAGATGCCCACACTGGCCCCGTTGTGAGAACACAAGCATGAGAACACCACACGGTCCCCAGAATCAGGCCTTCCTGTGTAATCACAAAACGATGGGCAAGAGAGTTAAGTGACAGGCCTGCGTGGACATGGACTTGAGCATGTCCAGCCGGCTGGGGCTGGGTTTACCCAGGCAGGCTCTGTTGCTAAGTACACATACATCCCCAGGGAAACTCTTTGCTGTTTCTGAAAAAGTACAAGACTTGAGCAAAGAGACACTCTCCCTACTGGCACTCACACGATCTCCGCATGTTCCTAGCTGCAATCAGAAAAGGATGTGTGGTATGAGAACTGCCTTGAATCATTTTTCTGTTCCTCCTTGGTTTTTCCTAACATCTCAATGGAGTTCAAAAGATAAGTCCTTTCGTGGAAGCAGGAATGGGGTCTATCTCGTTCCTCTTGCATCCCAAGTGCTTAAAGCAGCGTGTCTTAGACACTGTAGGAGCTAAGAGATACTTAGGAATAAACCGTTTGTAGAGCTTATTCTCCCGGACAGCTCAGGTAAGGTTAAAGGCACTACAAAGCCTCAGGAACTGGTAGAAATTCAGTAAAATAGCAATTTCTACTACATTGAAAGGTTTCTGCAACATCTAAGATCGTTTTCCTAGTCTCTGTTCTTCGACCACTGTATTTCCTGTCCTTTCCACTGTGCTCCAGGCTAACCTGCCCTTCGCTAGGAGTATGTCCTTCCATAAAAAGATCATTGTCACAGTGTAATACCTTCACATCTGCAGGGGCTTTCCATCCCTCAGAGGGCTGTCAGGAAGACCTCATTTGATCCCAAAACAATAGAACTGGCCAGGTGGGTACTGTTTCCTAGCACTGAGGCTGGAGGGTACTAAGTGGCCCAGCTCAGGTCTCTGCCCCGCTAACCCCAGGCTCCTCTGGTGGGCTAGCCTGCCTTTTGGTACAACTGGCAAAAGTGATGTCCCGAAGAGCTGTCACCAGACCAGCAAAGCTCAATGAGCTGCCACGGTCACTCAAGAGGTTTCATGAGCTTGGCTAAAGAGAGGTAAGAACAGATGGCACATGACCTGCACAGGCTGACTCACCTTCACCTTGATTTTGGAAGGGGCCATTACTTTCTTCTTGGCCCTGTTCAAAGGAATAAACACAGAAACGGGTTAGAGAAGATCCACCAAGGACATAAGGTGACAGTTGTCTTGAAAAGTGAAAACACTGAGAGACTCACAGGATTGATGTCAGGTGCCCGTGGCCTCGTCTGCTCTCCTTAAACAGGGTCCTGGAACAGAGAACACGGGGCTGTTTGCGGAAGCCTCCTGAAAGCAGAGACTCTGCTTCTAGAGCTTCCTACTGTTCCTGGGACTCAGCACCTATTACTCATGAACTGTCAGAGACTGTGACTTCATTGCTGGTGAGAGGACCCAAAGGGGCTGTACTGGACGCCTAAAAGCCAAGGGTTTAGGATTTACCGAAAAGGGCTCTGGATCTGCCCCCAAACTTCTTGTAGTGATTTTTCCCCTAACGGCAGGAGTGCTTTTGTGATTGCCCATTCTCCTCCTTTCCAAGAGTAAAATGTGGAGTGACCCACAGCATGTCTCTTTCCAGAGAAACTCAACAAACTTTTCTTTATGCCCTTCCCTACATGCCTTCAGGAATCCAATCTACAGGGAGAGAAGAGCAATTCCATTTACAGAAGGGACACTGAGACGAGAAAAGGCTCCTCCATGATTTGTCCAACTCATAGAAGAACCACGCTCAATCAAGAACACTACTTCCAGGGGCCGGCCGAGTGGCGCGATGGTTAAGAACTCGCTTGGGATGCCAGAGGGCCCCGGTTCGGATCCCACATATGAAGGCCAGTGACACTGCCCTCTGCAGCTAGGATGGTGAACAACAGCTCAACTTGGAGCTGGGCTGCAGTGAGTCGCCAGTGACGGCGTAGGCTGCAGCCCATGTGGCAGTGGGTTGCCATGGGCTACCGTGTGTAGCCAG